TAATTTTATTAATAATAAAACCTAATATAATTCGCAAAAATATAATATAAATATTACCAAAACCTACTGATTAATTTCCTATTTAAAAAATATAAGTAAAAAATGGAAAAACTATATAAAATAATAAAAATATAATACATTTTTCTCCTAATATCCCCTTAAATCATTCTAAATATTCATTATAGTAATATTAACATTTTCGAAAAAAAAGAATAAAATTCAGAAAAATTCAACTTAAGTTTCGTCTGATTTTGATGGTTGGAGGCATGTTTCTATTATAAAAAGTAAAAAAATCAGAAAAATTGACTAAAATTTAACTTAATTTTCGTCCGATTTGATGGTTGGAGGCATATTTCTATTATAAAAGGTAAAAAAATCAGAAAAATTGACTAAAATTCAATTTAAGTTTCATCTGATTTGATGGTTGAAGGCATGTTTCTATCATAAAAAGTAAAAAAATCAAAAAAATTTAACTTAAGTTTCATCTGATTTTGATGGTTGAAAGCATGTTTCTATTATAAAAAATAAAAAATCAGAAAAATTGACTAAAATTTAACTTAATTTTCGTCCGATTTGATGGTTAAAGACATATTTCTATTATAAAAAGTAAAAAAAATCAGAAAAATTGACTAAAATTTAATTTAAGTTTTGTCTGATTTGATAGTTGAAGGTATGTTTCTATTATAAAAAGTAAAAAAATCAGAAAAATTCAACTTAAATTTCATCTGAATTTGATGGTTGAAGGCATGTTTCTATTATAAAAGTAAAAAAATTAGTTTATTTTTGAAAAGTTGACTAAAATATAGCTTTTTCTTCGTCTGATTTTGATAGTTGAAGGCGAAAATTGACTAAAATTCAACTTAGGTCTTTTTGTTCTTGAGACGATTTTTTTGGGATTTTGGTGGAATGTAAAAGAGAAAATTTGGAAATAATTGAAATTATTTTTAAAAAGTTAAAAAATTAAGTTTATTTATATAAATATTTCTATATACTAAAAATAAACTCAAATAGTACATTAAATCAATATTATTTTAGCAAATCGGTTTAATACAAAAGTTCAGTTTATTAGAATGATAATACTATCATATTTTAGGAATGATAAAACTATTGTCCCTAAGGAACTATAATACTATCATCCCTAGGGAACAATAAAACCATTATTCCTAAAGAATGATAATACTATTATTTCTTAGGTACAATAAAATCGTCATACCTAAGAAACAATAATACTATCGTTTCTTAGGTATGATAATACCATCATCTATAAGAAACGATAAAACAATCATCCCTAAGAAACGATAAAATTATCATTCTTTAGATATGATAAAACTATCGTTCTTTAGGTACGATAAATGCATCTTACTTAAGGAACAATAAAATCATTGTTCCTTAAGTATGATAATACTATCATCACTAGGGAATGATAAAACTATCATCCCTAAGGAATGATAAAACAATCATTCTTTAGGTATGATAAAATCATCATACCTAAGGAATGATAATACCATCGTTTCTTAGGTATGATAATATCATTATCTATAAGAAATGATAAAACAATCATCCTAAGGTATGATAATACCATCATTCCTTAAATACGATAAAACCATTATCCCTTAGGTACGATAATACTATTGTTCCCTAAGGAATGATAAAATAATCATCCCTAAGAAACGATAAATTATCATTCTTTAGGTACGATAAAACCATTGTTTCTTAGGTATAATAATACCATCGTCACTAAGGAATGATAAAACTATCATTTTTTAGGTATGATAATACTATCATCCCTAAGGAACAATAAAACTATCATTCCTTAGGTACGATAATACTATCATACCTAAGGAACGATAAAACTATTATTTCTTAGGTATGATAATACCATCATCTCTAAGGAACAATAAAACCATCGTTCCTTAGGAACGATAAATGCATCTTACTTAGGAAATAATAAAACCATCATTCCTTAGATATAATAATATTATTATTCCTAAGGAACAATAAAACTATCGTTCCTTAGGTACAATAATATCATTGTTCCTAAGGAACATAAAACTATTATCCCTAAGAAATGATAAAATCATCATTCTTTAAGTACAATAAAACTATTGTTCCTTAGGTACAATAATACCATTATCCCTAAGAAATGATAAAACAATTATTTTTAAGGAACGATAAAATCATCGTTCTTTAGGTACGATAAAACTATCATTCTTTAGATATGATAATACTATCATCCCTAGAGAATGATAAAATCATCATTCTTTGGGTACGATAATATCATCATTTCTTAGGTATGATAAAATCATCATACCAAAGAAATGATAATACCATTGACCATAAGAAATAATAATATCATCAACCCTAAGGAACGATAAAACAATCGTTTCTAAGGAATGATAAAACTATCGTTCTTAAGAAATGATAAAACTATCATCACTAAGGAATGATAAAACCATCATTTCTAAGGAATGATAAAACAATCATCCCTAAAGAACGATAAAACCATTATGCTTTAGGAATGATAAAATTATCGTATCTTAGGAACGATAATACCATTATACCTTAAAGTACGATAAAACTATTGTACTTTAGATACAATAATACTATCATTCCTAAGGAACGATAATACCCTATCATTCCAATCGGAAGTCAATTAGTTATAAATATAATAGGTCAAATTTTGATATATACTAATTGGCTATAAGTATGCTAATCAGCTATAAATAATATGGATCAAATTTTGGCTGATTTTTGGCTGATTTCTGATGTATGCCAATCGGCTAGGCTGATTTTTGATAATTTGCCAAATTTAGGCTGATTTTAAGCTAATTTTAGATTGATTTTCACATGTCTGATTTTTTTGATTTCGAACAGTGATGTTTATATTATTTAATTAAAATTAATATTTATTTAATAATTTATTAATAGATGATGACTTTGATTAGAATATTCAAAAATTGTCTTTCTTTCTTGTTTTGCATACTAAATGTCAATTAGCAATTTGTGATATTTTTAAAGAATTATCAACCTTAAAAACTGCATCTAGTAAAGCAATTACAGTTACTGCTTACTTTAAAAATGCAAATAACAGTTATTTTATTGGTAAATTACAAGATATTCAGAATGAGCTATATAATAATTATTATTCAATTAAAATTTCCAGTGAAACAAGATGGAACAATTATTATTTCTGCTTTAAAAGTCTTATTCAATCTAAACAAGCTTTACAAGTAATATAATCTTTTGATTAATTATTATTTATAATTATATAATAATATAATAATTATTTTTTTTTTATTTACTTTTTAGAATTTAGCAATTCGTCACGAACATTTATAAATTGGTTCAAAAAATACCAATAAATTTTATCTAAATTCAGAAATTTGTTGAATACTTCTTGATAATGATTGGTAGGAAAAAATTGAACTTTTACAAAATATTTTATTACCTTATTGTAGTGTTTTAAATAAGTTACAATGTGATAAAGCACTTCTTTTTGAAGTGCTTTATCTTTTAGTTATTTTATGTAATTTTGAAAACATTTTTCAAATTTATATTTAGAAAATTAAATGATTAATTAACTAGAAAAATATTAGAACCAATGGGAGCAACCATTGTTATTACTTTTCTTTGTACTTCATTCAAAATATCAGTTTGGCTATTTTAATTCTGAACTTGATAATTTGTTATTTACTTCTTTGAGACAGTATTTAACATACTATTATAAAGCATGATTTAAAAAATGTCTATTATGATTATTATTAGACTTGAGAATTTTTGTCAGAAAGTTGAACCATTTAATAATGAAACATTTAAATAATTTGAAGATGATGCCTTTAAATTTTGGGAATATGTAGAAGGGGATTATAAAGAATTGGCTGCAGTTGCTTTAAAACTTTTTGGCATGTGTATAAATGCAGCTTCTATTGAATGAATGTGATCTTTCATGAATTTTTTACATACAGTTCATCATAATAGATTAAAGGTAAATTAATTTTATATTTAATTATAATAGTTATTTAATTTTTTGATGGCAGTTTATTAATTTATTTGATAATAGTTTATTAATTTCTTTTTATTTGATTATAGGTTCCTTTATTTGTTTATTTGATAATGGGTTATTTATACTTCTTCTTAATTTATTTGACGGCAAGATTATTTTATTGATAGATTCTTTATTTCTTTATTTTGATGACGGATCTTTTTATTTACTTGATGATGTATCTTTGTTTATATTTATTTGCCAAATATTTATTATTTTATTTTATTTTAATAGAATGATAAAGTATTAGTAATAAGTCAATTTCGAGCATCTATTAACTTTTTATTAAGAGAAAAAGAATTACAACAAAATCAAGTCAAATTTTTAGATTCAAATACTTCTTCAATTGAAACTGATTCTGAAGTTCTTGTTGAAAAAATTGATGATATTAATGAAGATAACACTTTTATTACTTTTGAATATTGGGAACAAGAGTTAAATGAGTAAGAAGAAAAAAGAGTTAACATAATTGTAAGAGGAAAAGGAGTTAAGAGATAATCAAATATCAGTATGAGAAGTGATCTTTTAAATGAATATATATATCTAGCAATAGACAAAAAAGCTTAGAAATTTATTCAATTCAACTTTCAATACTCTTAATTACTTAAATATAGAAGAATTAGCAGTTTTTTCATTCAATGTATTGATCACTTCAAATGATCCTTTTTTTTGATTTTTTTTGATTCCTTTTTTTCATTTTTTTTATTATTTTTTTGTTAATATTTAATTTATTTTGTTTTATTTTATATTTTTTATTTTTTTATTTTTTTATTTTTTTTTTAATTCGTATTTTTTATTTGATGTTTCGATATATATATATTTTTTTTTATTTTTTAATTTATAATTTTATTTTTTTTAATTATTTTTTACATTGTTAGTTTTCTAAATTTTCCTTTTTTTTGTTTTTTTTATTTTAATTTTTTTTTTTAATTTATTTTTTTGTTTTGATATATTTTTTAATTTATAATTTTTTTTAATTTATATTTTAATTTTCGATATTATATATATATATCTTTAATTCTTTTTTTAAATAGGTAAGTATTTTATTTCTTTTTATTTGTTTTTTTTCATTTTATTAATTTTCGATAATTAACTTTTTATTTTTAATTAAATTTTTCATTTTTTATTAATAATATCTAACATAAAGATCGAAATCACAAGGTAATAAATATTTATTTAATTATAATTTTTTTTTATTTAATTTTTTTATTTAATTTTTTTTTATTATATAAGGTATTCTCTTCGTGTCTTTAAGGTTAGTCTTCTAAGGCTTCTTTAGTGGGTTCTTCAAAATGTTTATTTTTTTTACTTATTAATTTCTCCTTTTTTTAGAAACGGATCTTTCATTTTCTTAGAATATGTAAGTCTTCTTTCAGGTAGATTTTTATTATTTCTTCATTTTTTTAGAAATAGGATCTTTCGTTCTTGTCAAAAAAGATAAGCCTTTTTTCTGGAGTTTTTTAAGTAGATTTCGTTATTTTATTTCATCTATTTTTCTAATTCCCTTTTTTTTAGAAACAGGTCTTTTGTTCTTTTCAGATAAGATAAATCTTTTAGGTGATTTATTAAGGAATTCTTTTTAGAATAATTCTTTTTTTTTTTACTAACACACTCTTTTTTTAGGAGCGGATCTTTCGTTCTTGCCAAAATGAGAAAATAGGAAAATCTGCCAGCCAAAAGACAGTAATAGTAAAACTTCTACTTCTCAAATTTGAACTAGAGAAAAATTATCAGATACCCCTTATTATTTTTATTCAGATAGGTAAATCTTCATTTGGGGTTCTTTAAGAAATTCATTAATTTTACTAACCTTTTTCTTTTTTTTTTAGAAGTGGATATGAATTTTATCTGCCAGATGGAAGAAATTTTATTTTGGTATATATAAAAAGTTCTTAGAAACAGTTCTTTCTTTTGAATAGGTTGGATTCTTTAAGGGCTTCTTTTAATAGTGAAATTTTATTTCTTTTTTTTTTTACTTTTTTTACTTTCTTTTCAAATAAGTTCTTTAAATTTTTTTTCTGTCTTTAAAATTTAACAAAAAAAAAAATAAATAAATTCGCTTTATTACTTTGTAATTACGATTCTTGTGTTAGTTATTATAAAAAGAAATGAAAATTTAAATTAATTTATATAATTTCGTATATTTATTTGCAAGTTCAATGATATAAAATTTCATTTGATTTTATTGGATAAAAAATGTGTCACGTGATAATATGCTATGCTTCCAAACTTCCAATAAAACTTTATTGGAATTGGAAGTATGATTGGAATTGGAAGATTTGGAAGTCCAAATGTGCTTCCAGCTTCCAATACACATCACTGAACTACATCATATAATGCATTCTTGCAGTTGTTATATGCAAAATATAATTAAAACAACTTTTGAAATTTTTGTAAGATAATTCTTTTTCATGAATAGTTGTTTAAAATATTGTTTGTTTTATGTAGAGTTTGGAACCGATTTCATTTTTGAAAACCGAATTTAAAACGGGTGCAACCGGTTCGACCCTTTTCAAATCGGTTTTACAAATTCAGTTGAAACCGATCTTTGCAACCGGTTTTATATTTGTTAATTATCAAATTTACGAAATTTACGTAAAAAACAACTTATGGAATTTTTGCTTAATAAAACAATGCCATTGATTAATAAATATATTACGTAAATTTGATCTGCACTTTAGAACTTAAAAAACTTTCATTGTGTCTAAAAAAAAATTATACTTTTCAAAAAAAAAAAATATATATATATATTTATTTAATCAAATTACTTCATAAGCTTTTATTAAAATTTTATATGATTAAAAATGATTGGTGCTTAAATTTTAAATTAAGCATAAATTTTTGTTAGTTATCAAACCGGATTGGACACCCGGTTTCACCCGTTTTAAACGCAAACCAGTTTTTCGTAACATAAATCTGGGTCAAACCGAATGGTCAGAAAACCGGTTAAAACCGAATTTAAAACCGAATGTACATCCGGTTTCAAACTCTAGTTTTATGAACTTGCGTAATCAACTTTTTTTTTTAATTCATTTTAAAGAATTGTACTTTATATTGAAGAATGTTAAAAAAATAAAATAAAAAAATACCGAAAACAAAATCACTGAAAGGAAATATGTCACTTGACGATCCATTGCAAGAATAGGTTAGATCCTTTTTTAAAAATAACCAAAGACTAGATTATTTATGGAAATTCATTAAGTCATTATACATATGGGAAAAATTTAAACCGAGGGCTGAACTGTCCTTGCATAAAAAGATAAATATTTTTTTTAGAACAATTGTAAAATTTCTTATTACATGATGGTTTTAAAAAGAAATTTAGAACAAGCATTAACAGTCTTGGAAACTAGAATTAAGGAATTAGATCTAAGTAACGAAGGGTTACGTTTACAATTCAAAAATTTAGAGGAAAAATTCAAAGAGCGAGAAGAAGAAACCAAAACTGAACAAGAAACTATTAAGAAATTCGAAGAAAAGATTAAAGAGCGAGAAGAAGAAACAAAAAACAAACAAGAAATTATTAATGAATTAGAAAAAAGGATCATAAACCTTGAATTAATTATATATGATGATACTACTTTTAGTTTAACCATCACAGATACAAATAAGGATGACATATTAAAAGCCTTAGGTGGATTGCAAAGATATCGAAAATTAGCAAAACTCACTTGTAATAGTACTCAAATTACCAGCTTACCAATTTTACCCAACTCCTTAACGAAACTTGATTGTTATGATACTCCAATAACTATCCTACCAACATTACCCAATCCCTTAACGGAACTTAATTGTTCTGATACTCCAATAACTATCCTACCAACATTACCCAACTCCTTAACGAAACTTTATTGTCATATGACTAAAATAAATAGCTTACCAACCCTACCCAACTCCTTAACGGTACTCAATTGTAATAGGACTAAAATAAATAGCTTACCAACATTACCCAACTCTTTAACGGAACTAAATTGCTCTGAAACTCCAATTACTATCCTGCCAACATTACCCACCTCCTTAACGGAACTTAATTGCTCTGGTGGTTTTCTTTCTAATAGTAATATAACTATCCTACCAACTTTACCCAAATCCTTAAAGATACTCAATTGTAGAAGAACTAAAATAAATAGCTTACCAACATTACCCAACTCTTTAACGGAACTTAATTGTTCTGATACTCCAATAACTATCCTACCAACATTACCCAACTCCTTAGCGATACTTAATTGTACAGATACTTCAATAACTAGCTTACCAAATTTACCCGATTCCTTAACGGATATAAGCCCTCAATCTTTAAAGACTCGATATATCAATATTAACTCCTAACCTACCTTTAACCTTCTACACAACATCCTTTTAAGTTCATGTTTTTCTTGATAAACTTTATTAGAAGATCCATATTAAATTCTCTGAAAGTTAATTTTGTTTATTTTATCCTTGTAATGAGCGAATAATTTCCCTTTTTTACTGAAGTCCTCCCATATATATTAAAAAAAATTGTAATCATAATCATCTCTTACATTCGTTTATATTATATTCTTCCTTCTGAGTTTTCGCGATGATTTTTTCAGTCAGGTTCTTACATTGTTATGTTTTTAATTTTTTTTATTAAAAATTATTTTCTCTGTCTAGATAATTTTATTTTTATTTTCCTTTTGATATTATTTTAACTTATTCCAAGATATTAATAAGATGGATCATTTTGTTTTGGAAACGAACTAAAATTGATCTATTAGTAATTTCCTTTCAGTATGATCTCGAGAATTTACGCACCATTTTGGCAGTGAATATTTAAAAAAAAAAAAATACTAAATTTGCGCTGATCATTTGACTACAATTATTTCTATCGCATATATAGTATAATATTATTTTATTTCAAAATTCCGATTCAAATTTCTTTTATAAACAGAATTTTTAATTTGAACTTTACTTTGATCTCTAATTATATTTATCGTTTCGGTTGCTTACTAAAGGTTGCGAATCCCTAATTCCCATTTGTTAAAGTCGGAACCTTTTGATTTCGATGCCTTTCAAAATTTCCTGCAATCTTAACATATCGATAAAATGACGAGGGAATCCATTAGGACAAGGACAAAATAAAGATTGTATTGCAAGGATGAAGAAAATTACATGGGTGTATAGCAGTATCTGTAGTATTTGACAGATTACTTTATATTATATTGTTACTTATGAGAAACGAATTTCTTTTCTAAAGATTAATTTTCCAAGAATGGAAGTTATAATGGAACATGCTTATACAGGAACTGTTAAAGAGGTTTTATTTATGCAGACTACTTTCATCTTCCGGATTTATTATGAAATCTGTTATATTTACCTTAATAGTTTTGTAATGATAATATTTCTCCAGAAAAGTCACATAAAATTCTTGATACAATCTATTAGCTAACGCAGCATCAACTATTCCTTTATATTGTTATCTATACCGAAGTCTTTTTCCAAGAATATTAGTTGCTTCGATATGGTGTTATTTTAGTTGTAGATCACATTGATAACTTTAAGAAAATTGAAAAATTGATAATGAGATTTGTCGATTCAAAAGCTCCATTAACGATTTTAAGTATACTTAATGTCATATAATACAAATTTGAATGAAGTTCATGAGCTTCACTGTGTCCAAATTTGATTGGGATGGAGTCAGTGTATGAACAACTCACTATGTTAGAGATAGGGAAAAATGTACGAGATATAAAACTTATGTTTCAAGGTTATTATTATTTAAAAAAATTGTTCATATAAGTGTGCGCGCATCAAATCTCTAGGTAGAATTTATCATCCTAAAGTACTATAAATGATCTTTTTTGTGAGATAGCTATACATTTAAGATATAATAATATGACCTGTTCAATTAATGTCAATGATGTAAGATATTCAGCGGTAACAGATGGAATGATTTACTAAGACTTATTGAAGTTTACAGAAAATAGTAAATCATATGGTCCGTAACGTGATTTTAATAGCGAGACCTCCCATTTATTTAGATCAGCTACATATGTTGTACAAAGATGACTCGGTACAATAACATTTTTAAAATTCTGTCTATTTTTTTTTTCTAAATTCCTTTTCGCTTATAGTCTTTTTCTTACTAAATTCATGGTTGGCACCTTATGTATCTGCATTTCCTAGTAAAATAATTTTATCAGAAAACCGTAGAGCTTTTTCAAGAATAGGAAGGTTGAGACGTTGCTCAAAGAGCAAATATCATTGCTTTAAAAACATTAAATCTGATGAATCAAATATAAAATTTAAAAATCAAAAATTCCCTACAAATACCCTAATGCGAAGATTTAGTTAATATCAAACCAAAAGGGCTTGATCACAACGTTCAAATCTAACTAAATGAAATTTTTAAAAAAAAAAATAATAGAAAATAAATGAAACTAATAATTAAATTAATAATAAAAAAATACGTATCGCGTTTACCTCTGAAGAAAATCAACTTGAAATATGAAGCTAAAGATAAATAAAAATAATAAAATTAAAGAAATACCTTACTATGCAACCTGATGTAATCCAACTCGAAAGAAATCGCACTAATTTTTTTTTGGAATTTGCTCATTTTTCTTTTCTTTAGGTTTCTCTATTGGGAGAGCCATTTCTGCAAATATTAGATAATTTTCTTTTTAGTTATGGCCTTCGATAACTTCGGGCTGCAGAGATAGATGATCGGTGTGCATTATTTTCTTTCATTCTTTTTTGACATTATGTTTATTATAATTAATTTTCTAAGTTTAGGTTCTATTTCGGATTCGTGATGAAGGGTCTGTTCGATATGCTGCAGTAAGGTATTATTATTATCATTTTGTAGCTGGAATTTCAAATTAGATTTTTATTTTTGGTTCGATCGAGCCTTAGACATCTTTTCCCGTTATTATCGATTATATTATTGCTATATATTATTTTAAATAAAATGTACAACACGAAATTTAATTATAATGCTTATTTCCGAAATTAAATATATGAAAGGTTGGTAAATTAACAATTCCAATTTATATCACTTTATTTATTGGCTATTTACATGAATTTGTCTCCAATACTAATGTAGATGTAAATAACGTCATCCTAATTAATTCAATCCAAGCTAGACTGAGAAGGAGTTATATTCGATTTCAGAGTTTGGTAACAAAATTTTAGGCTTTTGACCTTGGGTTACGCAAAATAACCTTAAATTGAACGTATTAAAATCTTAATTCGTTATGATGAACTTTCCTCATAATTATTAAAAGACTAATTATCAAAGAATTTCACCCATTCTTGAATGTGATTATTTGCAAAAACTTTTATTTAACTTGTTATGATTATACTGCATAGCTGTACTTAAACGTGCATTTATTGAATAAAATATATATTTCTTAAATTTTAAATCAAATTATTGTAATTCCAATATTTGTAAAAATATTATTTGTTATAATCATTAATTTTGGTTTACCATTAAAAGCATTAAATTTTATTCCATCATCGCCAAGTAAATCACTTTTGTATTCATGTGTTTTAGCAATTATACTATAGTTATATATAAATCAAAAATATATATATTAAACTAAGCGTAACCTTTGTTCATTAGCTTAAAATATATTTTTAAAAAGAGGTTTGGCAAAGTCACAGAAATATAATTACTATCAAGCTCCTTTAATGCGAATTCGCATACGTTCATGCCTAGGAATTGTCATTTTTTTCTTTAGATACTTAACCTCTAAAAAAAAAATCACTATTTTCACTTTGTAAGATGTTCCAGTACTCCGGTTATTAACAAGTTTAGTTTTTTTTTTTGGCCGGTTCCAACCTCTAAAAAAAACATCAATTAAACAGTCATTTATTTTAAAATGAAGGGATATTTTTCGTAAATAATTCCAAGTTAACACAAGCAAATGTAACATTGTTGCCTCCCATTCTATTAATCCTCTTTCGACAGTTTTCCATCATGATGACTGCATTGAATTCTAATTGCAATCAATAATATAAGTTTCTGTGTTGTGATTGGTATGCGCAGATGTTCTTACAGCAAATGATATATTTTAATTTCATATTTAATTATATAGACATAGCGCTGAATATATGATTCCGCTATCAACAACTGCGGGATAAATATGAAGGTTCAAAACTTACGGAACGGATTTCTACATTTTCTTTTTGAAATTTTTAAATATATTGTGATCATGTCTAACGAGTTGAAATTTTAATAAAAAAATTATGATTGTAATTTATAACTTTGTAACTTTTTTTACGTATACATTGATTTTTTCTATTTATAAAAATTGTTAATTTTTTTTTGCAACACATTTACTAAATTATGAAATCACTTTTATAAAATTGTTGCTTATGTAACACATATTACGTTTATTATGAAAGTTACGTTGATAATTACGTTAATCTAAATTCATGAAATTATTAAGCGCAAATTAAATAGCTTATTTACAATACTTAAATCTATAACATTGCCAGATTAGAAAATTACTAGAAAAACAAGTTTGGTTCGTCATTATTATTATTTTTTACTATTTTTAAATCAATGATTAAAAATGAGAAATTAATTGTATAAGCTTTTTTTAAAAATTAATTAAAAAAATAAATCCGTTTTCTACGTTATATTATAAAATGTCGATACAATTACCAAAAAAAAATTATGAACAAGTGAAAAAGTCCAGTTCATGACAAGAACCAAGATTGATAACCGTGCGAGACACTACTGCCTTTCATTAGACCGGAACGAAGTGTAGAACTATATACTTCTATGCAAAGTGTCCTGATGTCCGCCCACTTAATAATTGAGATTATTTTTAGTTAAGATCGTTCCGGAATTAACAACAGTCCCCGTTCCCTAGTCATAGTAAGAAATCTCGAAGAAAGGTGGACTTTTTTACAATTTTCGGACTGAACAAAAGAGCAGGATTTACTTATTAAATAGTTGAAAAGCTCGGTGCCGATAATATAACTACAACGTCGTCACTCTTCCTCTTGCTATTGCTCGACGAGCATAATTTGAATAAAAAGTGCGTTTTTACAAATGTAACTAGCCTAGTAACAAACTTTGCTAAGAGAGTAAAGGAAAAGATAATAAAAAAAGACTATAAAGACTTAATTTACAAAAGCATGCTATAACAAGAAAACAACTGTTATCATCGTTATTCGTGGTGTTGTACCCCAAATTGGGATATCCCAAATGCGAAGATCGTCGCTCGCCCCATATGAGTATTTGGGATATTCCGAAAGACCAATTCGGGACTCATTTCAGACAGTCCTAAATGACCAATAATGATTTGAGTTTATTAAATGATACCTTATATTTTATATTTTATTTAAAATAAAATAATGACAAATTTTAAATTATTTAATATTTATATTTATAAAACTTAAATTGTAATTAGAATGTAAACAAACTTTACATTTGTGATTTCCGATCATTTTGGATAAAAGCGCATTTGGGGCAAGCAAATATTCCAAACAATCTTCGCATTTGGGATATCCCAAATGCGCATTTCGGACATTAACGCATTTGGGGTACAACAAGTCATCAAAGCTTAATTGTTAAAATGAAAGTTTATTATTTATTTATTTATATTATTTGCAATAAATACCTTTACATTGTTCAGAATTTTGCGCCTTTTCAGTTCCGTAAGAAAGAGATAAGACAAAAATTATTATATATTTTCTTTTCTTATTTTTTTTTTTATTTTGTTTATTTTGAGTTCGATCACTGCATCTTCTTTTCTAATTCCACTATTATTTTACTTTCTTAATTTTCTTTTGAATTAAATGAATTTTTAAGATCAATAATATTAAGTTCTGAAATTACTTCTGGTTCATGCTTCTAAAATTAGGTAATTTAAGATTGTAATAGATTGCAATAAAAAGAACAAAAAGTAAATATGATCTTACATTGATAAATATACCATCTGAAAGGCGATGAACAACTTGTCAATTTCCTGAACAATATTCCTAAGCTATAAATATCAAATTTTGGCTAATATTAAGGTTAACGGGAAAAACTCGGAGATTTCGACAGGCATCGACAAAACCCGTCAAAACCCATTGAAACTCATCGAAATCGAAGATTTCGACTTTAGTCACTTCAACCTTAGTTAATATAAATAATGTATTGGAATCCATATAAGGTATAATGGTAAATTTATTGAAGAAGTATAAACGCAACGAAAAGCTTTTATCAGTATTTTAGTAATCCCAAAGGTTTTAATATGTTATTCTCGAGTTATTATAAGCTAAAATTTTCATTTTTTAACCTTTTTGATAATTAAGGCATTGTGATAAAATAATAAAATAATACCCATGCTACAATATTAATTAATTTAATGCAAATATAAACTTAGATTAATGCCGAGCTAACTTATAGTGTATTTCTGACCATTCCAAACCTGCATCTACCCAAGAAATAGCTATATTTGTCGAAACAACAAATATTCCCATTAATACGCTAATTAATATCCCAAAAGCTACTGGAACTAAAATAAAATAATATATTCGATCAAAATGTTCTATATCATAAAATAAACCAATTCTAATTAAAATAACTATAAGATGTATTCCATAAACAGCTGCAATTAAAATAAGCAAAAACCTTTTGATTGATTCATCGTCTTGATTTTTGAATTTAAAATATGACTACGATATTAACAGTTATAACGAGTGTAACTTTAACAACATCAAAGTTAATTTCCTAATTAAAAAGGAAGGATATAATGGAAATTACGAAGAAAAAACTAGTTGGATTTAGTAAAACATCACTTAAATTGTGTAAAGTTCTTATAGATTAAGTATACATACATTTTCTTCACGCTCTTCGCGAATAAATTGTAAATACATTGCTTTCAAATTTTCATTAGCCAACCTGTTATATTTCTTTTTCTTCCATGAAGATAATGATTTATAAGTTTTTTCATCTCTCTCAGCTTGAGAACCAGTAGAAGAGGTCGATCCTTGTAGAAAGGTACATTAGATATATTTTAACAATCGAACAGATATCAAACGGGTTGCGAGCATGTTGGTGTTAACCGATTATTACGATGTAAATTCTTACCTTGATCTTCACCTACAGCTTCAAGCTCTTCACGAATAAATTTTAAATACATTGCCTTCATATTTTCATTAGCCAGCTTGTTATATTTCTTCTTCTGCCATGAAGATAATGATTTATATGTTTTTTCATCTCTCTCAGCTTGAGTACCAGTAGAAGAAATTGATCCTTGTAGAAAGGCTCATGAGATATATTTAACAAACGAACAGATATCAAACGGGTTACGCGTTTTCAATGTAAATTCTTACCTTGATCTTCACCTACGGCACATGTTAAGAAAGAAACACGTTAGTTAACCATCAAAATCGATGTATTGATATAATACCATTACAACAATCATAAGACACGTACTTGAAAACATCACTTCTATTGGATTTTGTTTACTGATCTCAAATGCCTTAACAAATTCAGAAAAGTCGTTTTGAAAATTTGTTTCATTTAAGGTATATATAACAGTTTCCTTTTTCGCACGTAGAGTCAATGTTGATGCACTACATGAAAGTCCTTCTTTTGTCTTCACTGCTTCAAGAAAATCAATAAAATCATCGCCAGGAAATTCAATTATTTTATTTGCGTGACGACCTTCGAATTTATACCAAATAGGAGTACTAAGGATTTTTTTGGTGTTCATTTTTCTTTTCGTTAAAATGTTGAAAAAGTTAAAGGGTTACGAGAAGAATACCGTTTTGTAGATTTTTCTGTTTATTTATATCTTATAATATACTTTAATGTACACGTAACAAATGTTACGAAAAAGGAAATTTGTGGCAATTCTGCATGTCGTCATAATAATTTACTCCAAATGTAAGTTAATATGAAGTGTTGTAACCTGACCTCAAACTAGAATTAGCTGCGCTGCTTAATAAAAAGTTCTGAAATACACGACATTTTTTTTCTTTCTTAAAGAATAACACTGAAACATTATAAGAGACGCAGTGAAGTTAAACTTCTAAAGTTAAGCTAGACACTTTAAAATTTCATAATTGTTGGCACACTAAAAAGAAAATTTTCGTGATAAGTACTTTTGAATTCTATATATGATGCTCTCACAATTATACTTTCATCAACTGCAGTCACCTCATTTAGAAATAGGTTATATTAGATCTTTATTATGTAAAGTGTCTTGAGTGGAAAGATAATTTAATTTTATTTTGTTCCTATTTGTATTAGTCAAAAGTCAAGAATTTTTACACTAGTAGTTTGTCATGGGGTAGCAGAACAACTTGTATAAATTTAGAATTGGATTGATCATCATAAAGTGATGACTTTGGTCAAGTGTATTCATTATCAAAATTTTCTTCAAAGTGCACCGCCATCAGCATATTCCATTAATATCCAATATTTTTTCATACTTGACCTTGATTTTAAAATAAAAAATTTCATGTACTGTATATATAAATAAAATATAAACCTAATTATGATACCTTGATCTGAAATCGTAATCCCACAAAGGCGGATAATATTTCCATGAAAAATCAACTTTCAGCTGATGTACAAGCGCAATGATTTATAATAAATAAACCGAAACACATGTCATACCTCACGAACAAGTTCTTTAAGTGGAACTGTTAATTATATGATAATTTTAAAGCGAGATGTTGAGAGCTGCCAATAAAAATCACTTGAAAATTGCTAAAATTTCCATCATTTGAATTATAGTCATCTTTTAACCAGAATCGATAACGATCACGTGAACTACCCAATCAATAAATTATTTTTTTCCGCAGTATCGCAGGAATTTGTTCTTCCGGTTTGAGAGTTACTTTTTCAAAATAATAATTCTCAACTTAAAGAACTTCTGAACAATGATAATGAATTACTAATCCGTGGAATAATTATTGATCTTTCGTGTGATAAATTCCACAAAAAAAGTTTGAACCTTCTCTCGTCCATAGTCAATCAAAAAAAAAAAAATTATTTTTTTAGCACTGTGAAGAACATTATCTCTTAATTCCATTCCAAAGAAAGAAATACTATGTAAATCAATGTTTAGCGTTAGTATTTATTTATCAAATGTTTGAAAACACCCATATTCTATTGTATCAAGATATATGGTCGGTTTACATTGAATCCATGTTACGAACCATATGATTTACTATCTCTCGGAAAAGACCTTATGACTTATATAAGAGTTTTAAATTTCTTAAATTAAAATATTTTAAACTAATGACATTGAAAAATCTTTTTATTACAATGAACTTTGGAGTTATATCATTTTGCAGTAATAAGAAATTAATAGCCATTCCATTTGAATCGTTTACAAAATCGTTTCAAGATCATTCGTCAATTGTCGGTAACATTGACGTAAAACCTTTTAAATTTCCCAATCATCTCGCCCACTCGCTCCATATATAATTTATCATTCTATGTTAATTTTCATTAGTTCTTTAATTATAAATTAAATTGTCAGATGTACAATAATAATATATTGTCCTCGAATTTTTGGAAAATCAAAAAATCAAGTAAATCACGTGCCTTTAATCGCATTTCTTTTGCATAAATAGTTTAACTTTAACGATTTTTGTATTAACTACATCTTGATAAAACACGGCCTATTGTTCACATTTTATTCTTATGGGCGTTCACATGATCAAATAAAAGATTACGTCAAATCTCACAAATCAAAAACTTCATTGTAACCACCATACTGTGATTATAAAGAATTTATTATTACACCGGTCATTATTAATGACTGGTATAAATATTACATGATGTACCAAGTGCATTTTTTTTTTGCTTTCCACCAAGAATTATCATTTTAACAAAAAAAGTAAAAAAATCTAAATGCAAGATAACAAAAATTCGAATGAATGATTTCAAGAAAAAACATCAAATTTTATGAATACAAACATTTTGGAAAATAGGTACAAGCAGCTTTGGAAAAGTCTATCGTGCAAATTGGAAAAGTTCAAAGCAACGTCTCGCTTTAAAATCATATCATAACTTTAATGATAACACTGCTAAAGAACTTGTTCGTGAGGTAATTAATATATATTACGTAAAGTTGGTCCATTTAGTATCAATTCATTATTTATCAAGCTAAATTTATATTCATAATAATTTAGATCGAACTTCAACGAGTTGATTTTCATAGCAATATCATCCGCTTTTTGGGATTACAGAACATTATCAAATCAAGGTAGAAAATTTTAATAATAAGATTATTTATAGTTTATATTGACTTTTAGATTTTATTTTATTTTATTATTTTGTAAAAAAAAAAAAAAAAAAAGTCAAAAAATTATTGGTTAGTAACGGAATATGCTGATGGTGGAGCGCTTAAAAACTATTTGAAGAACAATTTGATAAGCATGCTTGGAAAGATAAATACAAATTAGCTTTCTAGGTCTTGTATTATATCGTGCTTGCATGATGAAGGAATTGTACATCGTGATTTGATAACCTTATGTCTAATTTTGTTTATTATTACATTTTTGTATAATAATTAATAATAAAATTTTATATTAATAGCATTCAGTAAATATATTAATCCACCAAGGCGATATTAAACTAGCAGACTTTGGTTTATCAAAATGAATTGAAGCATCTACTAATCAAAAGTTTTTGGTGTGGTTCCATATATTTATCCTAAAATTTTTATTAGATTCATCGATACAATATATACTAAACGAAAAGATTGTGTTTACAATGTTGGCGTGCTCTTATGGGAACTATCAAGTGGTCGTCCACCTTTTCATGTTGAAGGTGGGAGGACTTTGAGAAAAGATCGTTCCTGGTATTAAAAATTAACATCAAATATGCTTTTATTATTTAAACAAGTACAAATTTTCCTTTTAATTTTTATAAAGATTACTGGTCAACAATTATTATTAACATTTAATTTATCGGTAATATTCGTTTTTGGGAAATTATATGAGGTAGGTCATGCAGTTGCGGTGCACTACATATTTTTTTTTTTGTCAAAGTCCATCGCCATTAAATACAATGCATGATATTTTATTATCACATATAATGCTTTATTGCAGTTGTGCAATATAATTTAAAAAAACTTTTTGAAATTATTGTAAGATAATTCTTTTCCATGAATAATTGCTTAAAAAATATTGTTTCATAATCAATTTCTATTTTTATGTTTTAATTTATTTGAAGAAATTGTACTTTATATTGAAGAATGCTTAAAAATAAAAATTAAAACCACAAAAAAAGTAGTAAACAAAATCACTGAAAGGAAAATTCCGACGATCCATTGCAAGAATAGGTTAGATCATTTTTTAAAAAATATCCAAAGACTAGATTATTTATGGAAATTCATTAAGTCATTATACATATGGGAAAAATTTAAACCGAGGGCTAAACCGTCCTTGATAAAAAGAGAATATTATTCCTTAAAACAATTGTAAAAGTTTCTTATTACATAATGGTTTTAAAAAGAAATTTAGAACAAGGCTTAACAGACTTGGAAACTAGAATTAAGGAATTAGAACAAAGTAACGAAGGGTTACGTTTACAATTCAAAAATTTAGAGGAAAAGTTCAAAGAGCGAGAAGAAGAAACCAAAAGCGAACAAGAAACTATTAAGAAATTAGAAGAAAAGATTAAAGAACGAGAAAAAGAAACCAAAAACAAACAAGAAACAATTTATAAATTAGAAGAAAAGGTTATAGAACGAGAAGAAGTAATCAAAGACAAACAAGAAATTATTAATGAATTAGAAAAAAGGATCATAAACCTTGAATTAATTATTTATGATGATACTATTATTAGTTTGATTATTAAAGATTCCAAGGATGAAATATTGAACACCTTAGGCGGATTGTAAAGATATCGAAAATTGATAAAATTGGATTGTAGAAATTCTCAAATAACAAACTTACCAACCCTACCCAACTCCTTAACGAAACTTGATTGCTCTTATACTCCAATAACTATCCTACCAACCTTGCCCAATTCCTTAGCAGAACTTAATTGCTCTTCTACTCCAATAACTATCCTACCAACCTTACCCAACTCCTTAACGAGACTTTTTTGTCATAGGACTAAAATAAATAGCTTACCAACATTACCCAACTCCTTAACAGATCTCTGGTGTTTTGACACTAAAATAACTAGCTTACCAAATTTACCCGATTCCTTAACGAATATCATACAATAACAATCAATGTATTAACTCCTAATATTTAACCTTCTACCTTTCTTTTAAGTTCATGTTAACTTTATTGGAATTCATATATTAAAGCTCTGAAAGTTAATTTGTTTATTTTATCCTTGTAATAAGCGAATATCTAAGAAAAATTATGAAAACGTTTGTCACGACACGATTACATTCATTGATTTTTTACAATAGATAATTTGTAATATTGTAAAAATAAATTTTTTTATTAAGGAAATTATATTAAATCAACAGCAATGAAAGTTTTACAAGACTTTTTAAATTATTATTGTATTGTTATAAAGTTATTATAAGTTAAATGGAATATCACCTCACCTTTATTCTACCGTAATGACATTTGAAAAACTTAGATCAGACATGAAATACCAATTTTTAACTTAAATAGGAATGTATTAAAAGTATTTGAAAGATAGTCAGAATGTGAATATTTTTGAAAAATGCGAAAATGGAACTATACCTTAAAATTTCGTATGATGTTATCCATATTTGTTTATCAAACT